CAATGGTTACTTAGTCTGCACGCCAAGTAAACTTTGTAATTTTTACAGTCAACAACTATATTAAAAAAATACTAATTTGAAGGATTTCAAGAGAAAACGCATTCAGCCGCTCATGCTCACTTGATCAAAAAGTGAAAATTACACACACACTCATGCTCACTTGATCAAAAAGTGGAAAAAAAAAATTACTAATTTGAAGGGTTTCTAGAGAATACGCATTCAGCCGCTCATGCTCACTTGATCAAAAAGTGAAAATTATATATATATATATATATATATATATATATATATAGCATCTTAATTTAGAGAAGAAGGAAAAGGTTTTGTTACGTCACAAAATCTTACATATTCTTTTGCATACAATTTTTTTTTTCTCACTACATGAGACTTATGTTATACATGTGATAAGAGACACCGAAAAAAGAATATGAAAACAAAGGATATGTAAAATTTTCCATTATTCAACGATGCTAAAGCAGCAAAGTTGCCTCTTGGGTCTCACTACTTAACTCATGATGTATGTAAGAGGGGAGGAAACCCTTATTTTACAAAAGGGATCCTTCACGCTCATTTTAAAAATATGACAAACTCTAGTCTTTCTAGCAACAACAATGTAACTCTCATTTTACATAATGAAACTGCATCTACATCAATGTAGACGTAGCCCCAACTCGGTGTAAACCATGATATACCTTTGTATTCATGTGTGTATGTGTGATTTACTGTCAGATTTACATTGGTCCAAAATCGACTCAATTTTGTGCATCAACACCACCCATCACCCATTTTGTCGATAATAGTACATAGGACATGCAAACTATTAGATTAAGTGGTGGTTTAGGCGTTTGCTAACTTTTGCCTTGTGTAGTTTGGAGTAACTAACTTTGGTGAGATGCTATTAGGAGGACTTTCGAAGACAACCAACATAAGTTCAATTCATTTCCGATATTTGGAAATTAAAGAAACAAGTAGAAAGTACAAGCAAATAGGCAAGAGTTGAAATCTAGCCGCCAGTGTTGTACTACTAAAGGGTGGGTGGTGTTTTAAACTTGGATAAGTGGGTGAACTAAGATAAGAGTGGTATTTCAAATAGAAACACCAATTCACGAATTTGGTGAAGATGAAACACTATTAAAAGAGCAAAACACATTTGGGGAATCTTGGTATTAATTTTTATATAAAACAATATATTTACATTAAGAGAGGTGAGAGAAATAAATTGGTATCGAACTCGTCATTCACGAGATTTGAACCTAAAACCTTTTACTTTCAAGTGCTAACATTAATTAATCTTGTTTAATTCGTTTCAAATTCAAACCTAAAAACATCAATGGATTATAGTACTAAGTAACATTAAAACTTTGCTGAGGCCTAAGAGGGATCGAGACATAAAGTGGGAAGCAAATAAAAACAAACGTGGTCAAAATGTGGGAAGCAAATAAAAAAAACGTGGCCAAAATGCCAATAGCACTCCACGGCAACACTATTACATTTGAGATCCGCTACAAGGAAGAAGAATTCATTGAGGAAAATCAGACGAGATTTTCTTGGAATTCAAGCATATTATATATAAAGCACGTCTGTACGTAATTTTGCATATAAAATTGCAGCTGGAAGTTGGCCGAACCTCAAATAAAACACCCACCCACCAGGAAGAGTAGAAGGCCTTTCTTTTTGTATAAATGTTGGGAGATGACTTGTAAAGTTATGATTCAGACATAGTTCAGGTCAAAATTGCTAACAAAATTTAATTTGTGGCCACCAAAGCAATAGGAAAAGGGAAAAGTGTATCTTTTGTTGTTCCCACTTGCAAAAGTGCCAGTTTATCGGCTTTGCCTTATAGTTAGAACCCTATCCTCATCGATGAGTGAAAAACTCGCATATATTTTGCCTTATAATGAGCATAATAACTTTTCATGACGGTTTTTAGGTAACTGCTTAGGAATAATTAGGATCATGTCCCTAATCATTTATGTTCGTAAACTGAAACCTTATTGATTTTCAATTTTTCATCAAAGTCTCTTAACTTTGTACACCTCATCATTTTACTATTAACAAGTTATTATCATTTTTAATACAATTAAATAAGATTTTGGTGATCCAACGTTCCTTCATGTGTAGCGTCTGCTTATGTTCATGATCTTTCTGCTTCGAACAACTATCATTTCAAATGATTTTTGTCATATGTTTTCTTTGTAAGTGGGGTTTCCCTACCATGTTACTTCATATGTTATTTCCATTAATGAGGTTTGGCATTATGTCCCCATCATTTGTATGTTTATTTTTATTTTAATTAGATTATGGAAAGAAAAAAATACAGTTAAATCCTTTAGTCCATTACTTATATTTAAATTAATACAAAAGGAAAGAAAATGATCTTTGACAAAAAAACAAATCACAAATACTCGGTCGTGTTGCAGTCCTATTAGATTAGGAATGTGATTGTGTAAATCCTAGTATATCTTGGAATATCTTTTATATTCCCTTTAGTAGTTAATATCCTATTAGAGTTGTAATCCTAAAAGGGTAAGAAATTAACTTTCCCTACTACTATAAATAAAGACACAATGGGATGGAATATAATACACCCACAATTACACATCTCTCTCTTCTCTCTCTATGCCACATCCCTACTACTATAAATAAAGGCACAATGGGGTGGAATAGCCCATCCGATTTTTCCCACCGATTTGTAAGAAAACACCTCGGCTCACCACCGCCCAGCGCCTAAGCGCTATCTAGGCCGTTTTTTAGAACATTGGCAAATAGGTATTGTGGGAGACTTGGTATTAATTTTTATATACGATGATATATTTACACTAAGAGGGATGAAAGAAATAAATTGGTATTGAACTCGTCATTCACGAAATTTGAATCTAAAATCTCTTACTTACATATGCTAAGTAACATTAATTAATCTTATTTAATTCGTTTCATATTCATGCCTACAAATATTATTGAATGGCAGTACTAGTACTAAGTAATATAAATTAGGGAATTTTAACGAAAAGCTTCTGGTATTGTTCACTTTAACGAAAAACCACATTTTTACACTAAAAAGTCAATCATGGTACTATTCACTTTACCCTTTATTTTGTCTTTATCATTAAAACTCAAAGTTTTCAAATTATTTTCATTAATTTTCCTTATAAATTAATCTTGTTGAAGACCAAGATCTCCTATGCATATCCCTGACCTAGAAAAAATTCCATGGACTAATGGAAGTCCAAAGCATGCACTAGGCAGTCTAAAGGCATGAAAGATTTGAAAAACCCACAATTGGTATTTTGCAAGTATGGCCCAGTTTTTAGATATTTCCATCATAGGCCCATCTATTATGTGTAATTATCCATGAGACCTAAAGATAAGCAAACGTTTCATTTTTTTGGTCAATAAGCAAACATTTCAAGGGACACGTGGAATTCTTTTTAATCAAACGATAGATTTTAATTAGATTAAATATTAGATTATTCATTGGTAATGTTCAAAGCCACATTATCATGCAAAAGTTTAACACATTTTTACCACTACGTTAAAAATCACGCAAAACTGGGTAAGAAACATATTTTAATAATTTCTTAACGTTGAAGGCGGCAGAGATCGTGTCGATATTTGCTAATGTTCCAATACAGCCTTCCCCAAATAAAGGCCTTTCTCAAAAACTCACATGGCTGAAATTACGTAAGTAGGGGCCACGTGTCAATTTCTAGGAGTTTACTTTTGCAGTTTTATCAGCTTTTGTTGGTTAAGGAGAGGAAACTGAATACTTTCCTGAATTCAGGATGAGGATCCTCCTGAACAGTCTATCTGAATTGTTAAAATTTGATCAAATGACTTCAAATAAGGAGCTCTTTTAAAAATTATAATAATTGCAGCCGTTGGATCAAGTTTGAATGACCCGGATGGGTTGCTCATGAGAATCCTTATTCTAAGCTCAGGAGAGGATCCAATTCGTAAGGAGAGAGGAATTGAATCCACAACGAACCTAGGGACAAAAATATGAGTTTTTAATTTGTGTGGAAAAGAAATCAAAGTTTGTGCGAAATGGATTAGCGAAATGAGTTAATGAGAACCATCAGATTCAATTTGTGTGGTCTAGATTTTTTTAATCTCTTGGCTCCAAACGCTAAGGTCCAGAGTGATCCAATTCCAAGGAGAAAAATGTTAAGGAGACTGAACTCTCAGTCGCTTCATATTTTAGCACAATATTTTATAACATTGGGATGTAAATTCACGTTAAATTATAAAGTGCTAGAGAGTCCAGTCTCATTTTGAAGAGAGTCTCCTTAACCTTTCTCTGGTTACAAAAATCTTCAAATAAGTAGAATTGTGTAATTCTTTGCTTTTAATTAATTATTGTAAGACTTAGTTAGCTTGTGAATTAGTGGTTGTTTATCATGATTTGCTGAAAGACTATGAGTTTCATTCAACTTTATAAAACGATTTGACATCTACATCATAACGTCCGTGTTGATCTTAGCGTATCTCATAATCGTCAAATTCGAAGTGTTGCGTGATTAATAAAGATTTTTAGAATAGGGCGGTCTTGTAAACTTAGCCGCGTGATGACAAATTAATTTTCAATTTAATTTAAGGAACGGATCCATCAAAACTGAACCCACTAATCAATGAATTTAGATCGTTAAGATCCAACGATTACAATTATTATAACTTTTAGAAGGATCATCTGTTTGTAACTATTGGATCAAATTTTAACGGTCCGTGTAACCATTGGATCAAATTTTAACGGTCCGGATTCATTAATTAGTGGGCTCAATTAAAGGATCCGGAGAGAATCCGGTTCCTTAATTTAATAAGCATGGCATGCCATTTGGATCATGGGTGATATATAAGTGGGGTATTTTTATAGGATTATCGATGGGTTTGCCTTGTATTAATCGGCTTGATATTCTTCCGCACGCGGTGTCAGCTTAGCCGCCCGCGCTCGACTGCCTTCTGAGAAGCAACCACTCCATCCATTTCCTTGCTCCATCTGCCCTTTGTCTATATGTATAAATATTCATCATCTATCACCTTCTAAACCAACAACTGCAAACTTTCCAAGTATTTTCATTGTCTAAAGTTCTAAACCCCGATACATATTCTTCTCAAGATCGTCGCCTTCATTTGATCCAAGATGAGTTCTACTAAGACAGCAGGTACTTAGTCAGATCCACCCTCACTCGTATTATCTTAATTTCTTCCCTTGAATTTATACATCTCCATGCATATATATGGCCCTAACTTTATTCAATATATTGCTGAGAATATTTAGTTACAGCAGAGATTTCAGTTTCTTGATTCCTCAATTTTTTTTTTTTTAAGTTGTCTATATATATGTTTAATTTCATTAACTTTTTATCTACGCTAAGTCTAGATTTATAAATATAGAAAGAATCCCTGTAAGTGAAGATGATGAATTTTTGTAACAAATAAAAGTCTTTGAATCTGGTTCTTAGTTTGATTAAGTTTTAGGAATATATTCTGAATTTGAGTTTCTTTATGGTTGGGAATATTAATCCAAAGAATCGAAAACTCTCTAAATTGTATATATGATTATAAATAATTAAGTCCTAGTACTACTGGTCTTGGATGATTTTGTATTCCAATCCGATGATCAAATTAGTTTAGTGACACGAAGTCTCTATTTTCCTTTAAAGATCAGTCTTAAGATTAAAATCTCATGAACGCCAGTTGTTAGGTCAAAATATATGAAATTGGAAGCGTGATTCCATGAAAACTAGCTGATCACTTTCTTTCTTTTTTCTGTTAATTAGTTCTTTGCTGAATTCTATGTAAAATTGATTGTTAATTATCTTAATTAATTGATGTGCAGCAGCATACCCCGCACTAGCTTCCTCCGCCGCACAGGGACCGTATCATGTGCAAGCTCCGCCACCTGCCGGCTACCCAACAAGAGATGAACCCCAAAACGCCGTTTCTGTAGAAACCAAGTCAAAGGGTGATGGCTTCTGGAAGGGCTGCTGCGCTGCCGTCTGTTGCTGTTGTATGCTGGATGCATGCTTTTAAGATATAAAGATCCAGCGATTCATTCTTCACCCCAGATAAATATTGATCAATATGTTTGATCATTTGTTTTTATTATTATTTTCCAGTTTTTACGGTACTACAGTGTGTGACATTGTTTATGTAGATTAGATGGTATCTGATTGTCCAGTTACTCATCATTGTATAATAATTTGTTGTTGATTTTAGCTATCTGGCTACCATTTTTATTTATTTGTTTATATTGTTTCTACTTTTTTTTTCTCAATTTTCAAACGTTAGGTGTGGGTTGACGACTGATTTTAAACATTATTGAATTCAATTCGATGAAGATAAGAACAAAGCAATAGGAGGGAGGGATGGTCCCGTTGCCAACTTTCTTTCAAGAAAAATGGCATCCAGTCCTCGTCAATATATAGAGACTTGAAAGTTAGGCACACTTACTCTGAACAACGATAATCACGGTTTAATTTTATCTTTTTATAATACAATGATATCGATATTGGGATTAGGGTTGGGCACTTCTAACAATGACCCAGTAGCTCAGATAATGTTTTCATAGAGAACAGTTTAGGTCTCGTACATCAGACAATGCTGATTATTTAGTCGGACAAACTAGCTGTACATCGGATAGGAGAGAATTGTTGGTCTACTGGCTAAGTTATCAAAATTTTGGTGATGTATCGGATTAAGAGGTTGGATATTTTTTAAAATTTTAATTACTTGTTATGATATTTTGGAACGATAGTTCATAAAAAAATCACAAATGTGTTTTTTTAAATAAAAATAAAAAAACAAAAACAAAACTTTTTGGAAGAGATTTGGGATAGGGTGAGTTGGCAAACGCAAGCAGAGAGGAAGGGAAAGGGAGAGATTCGAATAGGGTGACTTGTACAAGTAAGGAATCAAGAGGGAGAGGGAGGGAGAGGGAGAGAGAGATGGAGAAGAAGAGGGAGAGAGAGAGGAGGAAATCTTGAGATAGACAATGGCAAACGCAAGCAGTTAGAAGAGGATTCACGAGAGAGGGATTGAGAGCGAGCGTGTTTTTGTTAGCGACACAACTAATTATACATAGATTTAGGGGTCTATAACTTTAAGTTAGAGGGTGTGAACGGTATAAAATAAATGAACCCATATTAATTTATCTGGTTCTTATTTAACACGTACAACACCAAACACCGAATTCATACTAATTAAATAGTAGTGTAGTACTATCGGGTGGCCTAGATAACACATAATAAAGAATTTCTCATTATCCTGGCTAATTGGTACTTCTTCTTCCAACTCGGTTGAAATTTTGAATTACATCTATTTATGTGTGTTGTTATCCATGTGCCCACTATTGTGTATTAATTTCTTAATCTTCAATTAATAGTCTTGCCCATGATTAATTATGGTTTAATCAAGTGTATCGACCTACAAGTCCCTCCTTGCCGCCTGCCCACGTCTAGTGATTTTTAGAACATTAATAACTACACACACAAGTCTCGATTAAAATTTGACATGCTCTTTTATTACTATATTGATTGCAACAAAATATTTCTTTTATAATCTAATTTCGAGTTACATGCATATATTCTTTTTGTCCTTTCTTCTTCCTTGATTCAAGTAGATAAAAAAATAGATTGAACGAATCGCTCTTGTGTCTGTCTTCCAAAAAAGATAAAAAAAAAATTACATAGTATATATAACAATGTATATATAATTTATAAAAAATTATTTAACTATAAACAAACCAAATCCTACTGATTGGATCAAAGATGATGTAGAATTAAGAAATAGGATTGTTATTCTCAATATAAAGAATAAACAAACCATGGATAAATCCAAGTGAATTTTTCTTAATTGTTATTCTCAATTGTCCTTTTTGTAGGGGTTCGCCTCTGATCCAATCGGGAGATCAAATTAATTATAGAAACATGAGTTTATTTAGTCGATTTATTAGTGAACAAGGAAAAATATTATCTAGATGGGTATTATACAAGCTCATGTTTTATCTCCATTACCTTTTCTTAATAATAAGAAACAATTTGAAAGAAGCGAGCACTACAACAAAAATGGCCACTGCGCACAATAAATTATCAGTGCCCCTTGAGGCCAAAAAGCACCAATAATTGTGCCCATAGACCAATAGCAACAATGCAGCAAATATATTTGTATATGTGCCCTTTACAGGCATCACCTTTGATTAGAGGGCACGATACGTCCATGTGTGCTCAAAAAGTTGAGCACAAATAAGGTTTATATTGTGCCCTGTTCTGACACCTGTGTCAGATGCCATTTCAGATTTACGTTAGCACAATTTTTGTAATTATGCTCTATCAATTAAATATTAAAAAAAATAACATATTTGAAATATCCTACAATTTGAAACAAACATTTGAAAACGTATATTCATCCTTTCAGGCAGTCATCCTTCCGGTGGAGGCGCCTATGCTCCACGTGCCATCCACAACAGTGCCACACGCAGTGACAGTGTGACCTGCAGCCACGCCAAAGGTTTCAGAGTCTGTTTTGGTCCAAATCACAACCATTTTCAACAATTCAAAAGCTAAAGCAAAGCTACAAAGGTAAGTATTCAAATTTTACCTTCTTCAGGGCCATTGGGTGGCCAGTGATATCTTAAAATCAGCCTAAAATCATAGCCCTTGCTGGAAATCTAGGGAATTTGTCCCCTGAGATGAAACTGCATCCAAACTTCACCAAATCAGGCATGCAATGCAAAACGTCTCTAGACAACTTAAAGAACCTTACTAAGGTGTTTTCGAGACTCACTCATACTGGATTTAACAGAAAATCTCGTCGAGGAGTTAAGCAGCGACGGAGCTTGTCATTTCGTCGCGTCAGTTTTGATTTCCAGAAAGCAAAAGGTAATGGGGAGTTTGCAGTGAGGAGAGGAAGGTGACATTGGTGGTTGCCTCGCCAGAGATTGCTAGTTCTGTCGCCGTCATTGCTTATGAGCTTCTCTGTGTCAAGGAAGAAGCCAAGAGGGAGATACAAAAAGATTGTGAGAGAGCGAAGGTGGCAGTGTAGTGTTTGGGTGATGGCAAGGTTCGCCGAAGTGGCTAGTTAGATGGAGATGGATGCCGCAGTTTTCTGTGCAGTGAGCGCATAAATGGTAAAGGAGATGACAGAGAAAAATGTGAAGGAGTAGAGAGAGAGAGAGAGGATTGCGTGAAGGAGGGAGACGGAAGAGTGATGGCGTGTAGAGATGAACAGAAGCACGGGGAAGGGTGAAGACCCACGTGAGTGGGTCCCACGGTACACAAAAACCCATCAGAAAATTTATAAAATAATTATATACATAACTATGTCTATACAACAAATAATTATATATACATGACCTGGTGGGAAGGGTGAAGACCCACGTGGGTGGGTCCCTGCTGCATCAGCCTGTTGGGAAAGTAAAATGGGAGAAGCCCTTGGCTTCTAGAATACTCCCTCCCAAAATTACCATTTTGCCTTCTAACTTTAAAAATTCGTAACTTACTCGTTCTAACTCCGAATTCACATCCGTTTTCGATCACACGTTCATTAAGATAAATATTATTTAAATAAAATAAAATATTTATCACCAAGTGTCTTGAACTCGAAGGTCCCACAAAAGATGAAATTACCCACCATCTTATTTGTTTTCCAACAAGTTCCACATAATCATACAAAAAATGAATAACCAAATCATACATCTAAAACTACGTAAGGTATTACAAATAAATTGCGTACATTTGTTTTATAGGTACTATGGGTACATTTTCATAATTTTGTTGACATTTGTACATTGATTTATATGGTAGGATGTGAGAATAAAATTGAAAAAAAAAGAGAGAAAATTGCATGAACAATATGTGACAACTATTAACATGTATGTACAAAACCAAACATGACGTTCGAAAATATCGATGACTTAAACAGTTAATTTCCAGAAATATAGAAATACCAATCACTGTTTTTCAAGAATTGTGGTCCATTTATTTAAATGCAATGGCGCCTAACGTAATTTTATAAAAAAAAGGCTTATGATAATCTAAATGGTGCCCCATTTTAAGGAGCTAGTTTGATCAAAGGTCTAAAACACACAAATGTCAATCTAAATGCCTCACTAATAATTCAAGTTGATTGTAACTAGATATTTTCACAAATTGTGAATAGGGAAAAATAGTTGGGAATAGGAAAAAGTAAATGTAAAGATCACAAAAACATTTTTTTTATTTAAATATATTAAAATAGAGGGCACAAAAGCCTTTATTGTGTCTGTGTAAATTAATAAAAAAAAAATTCCATCTTTGACATGCAAGTTGGACACTATGACATCCCACATCGTCCAGGGGAGTGATTCTTATATGTATATTCTCATCTCTACCTAGCACGAGGCCTTTTGGGAGCTCACTGGCTTCGGGTTCCGTAGGAACTCCGAAGTTAAGCGAGAAGGGGGCTAGAGCAATCCCATGATGAGTGACCTACTGGGAAGTTGCTCGTGAATTCCTAAAAACAAAACCGTGAGGGAATGGTAAGCCCAAAGCAGACAATATCATGCTACGGTGGTGGAGCGGGCCCGGGAAGTGATCCGCCCCGGGCCGGGATGTGACAATTTGGTATCAGAGCCTAACCCTGGTCGCGTGTGTGTCGACGAGGACGTCGAGCCCTTAAGGGGGGTGGATTGTGACATCCCACATCACCCAGGGGAGTGATCCTTATATGTATATTCTCATCCCTACCTAACACGAGGCCTTTTGGGAGCTCATTGGCTTCAGGTTCCGTAGGAACTCCGAAGTTAAGCGAGAAGGGGGCTAGAGCAATCCCATGATGGGTGACCTACTGGGAAGTTGCTCGTGAGTTTCCAAAAACAAAACCGTGAGGGAATGGTAAGCCCAAAGCGGACAATATCGTGCTACGGTGGTGGAGCGGGCCTGGGAAGTGATCCGTCCGGGGCCGGGATGTGACAGACACAATGTTTTGTGTTCAAATTTTAATAGGCACAAATACCCGACACAAACTAATGTGCTTTTATGTTAGAGGGCACATTTGAGGTATTTTGGTGCTCAGTGGAATTTAAAAAGCACAAATATATATTTGTGCTCAATGAAAATGAGAAGGGCACAAATCAATTGTGTTCTTAGCCCATTTTTGTTGTAGTGGAGTCAACCGCTATAGTTGGTAGTCTTAGAACTAGAAAAGGTAGGTTGACTCTTTAATTGAATCAAAATTAAATTCCAATCTAATCTCAAATGCATTTTTCTTTCTTTCAAAAAATCATAAAACCTAAATGTCATGTTGTAAGAAAAAAGGGAGAAAAAGAAGAAATAGTTTATACTAGAAATTTGTACCCGCGCGATGCTGCGGGATTTAAAATCATATGAAATATTTTATAGGTTCAATTTTCACAATGTTTGAGTGAAAAACAGAGAATTATGAATGGCAAATGAGTAATAAGTCATTGAACCCAATCAGCGAACTTTATTTAAATAGAACCAAATGAGTAATAGGTCATTAAATCCTCATTTCACCATTCTAATTTTTTTACATATCTGTCTGTGTATATATGAGGGTAGTCATTCAACCCTCACTTTTTTCTTTTTTTAGAGTTCTGCATACTAATTGGAGGAAACCAATGAATTCAAAGCTTTTCCATACGTCGGCTTATAGTTTGAGGGAATTTAATATGTTCTTGGAAATTGGTAAAAGTGAATGTGGAGGAATAGGGGAAGAGTCCATTGTCTGTCAAGCTCTTCTCTTTGAATTGCTGTAAAAGAAACTTTCACATCCACCATTCCACTATTCCTCCTATTCAAATTAAAAAAATTTAAATTAAAAATTTTAAGAAAAAACTCGACAGAAAATCACTATATAGTTCAATAAATTTGGAATCTTTGTTATTTTCCTAAAGAATAAAAGGTGAAAACTTTACCTGAGGAGCTGAAAGCCAAGCTGTGATGAGAGCAAGGCAGATGGTGCTGGAAATGTTATGGAGGGACAGAATCAGAACTGATAGGATTGAATAAATCAGTCAGAAAACTCAAGATGTGATCAACCTGTTTGTTGTCGACCTGCATCCACAGAAAAACCATACAAAAAAATCGCTAATTAGATTCGATAGCATACCACAATGTCATGGTACAAAGTTATCTGTAATCATGAAATTAGTCACCTGAAATCTGCCGGACAACTCATCAGGAAACCCAACTTTTTCTGGGTTTAAATTTTCTCCCAATCCGAAACGGATTCATCTAAAACACAAAGTCGAACGGGCTAATCCCTTCACTGGACTGTGACTTAACAGAGGTTCATAATCTCTCCAACAGTGCGTCAGTAGTGCTACTTGTTTCATAGGTTCTGAACTGGAAAATCCCCAAATGGGCAAATCCAAATTTTATCATTAAAACCAAAATTATAGTAAGAAAATAATAATTATAACAGCTTGTACAAAGATGAGTTTTTGAAATTTACCTGCCTTAACTTGTGCACACTTTACATGCAGAGACCCTTATGTTTCTTTGGTGGTTTAAAAGCTTGCAAATCACAGGAGGTTGTCCATTCTGTTACAAAGATGCAGAACCAAAATATATATTTTATTAATTTTCGAGAGCATAAATGGACATATTAAATTGTATGTAAAGAATGTATAGCAAAATATCAATATAGCAAAAGAAATTCCGACACAACTCTACCACAACAATAAGAAATTTCAAATAGAAAAAATCTATCAACTATCATATAGATGATTTTTAAAATAAATAAAAGACTACCCTATTATGAAGAGCCTATACCCTTCATTTGTTTACTGTTGTTGATGAGTTGCACAACACAACTAAACAAAATAAAGGTCATGTCTGATAAGAAGGTTTGATTTATAATTATTTATATTTCTACATAAATACTAATAAATTAAGCTCCCAATGATCTACATAAACATTTGCAGGGCGCTCTTTTCTATCCATGGAAATGACTGAAATAGATTCGCCCCATGTCTTAATGACATCAGTTATGTGTGAAACCACCTAAATTGACTCGAATCATAGAAGAAAGGCAGTCATCAATGTTCAATCAAGTGAAGCAAAAAAGAAAAGGTAGGACATATGAACATTGTGATTTTTTACCATGACCTGGACAGTCTTGCCAACATAAGGGCACAGAACAAAAATGAATGAACTCGATTGCAACACGCTAAACGTTTAAGGTATTGGATAATCAAATTATCTGAAGTTCAAGATATTGGATTAGCTACATACATATTTGGAGACAAAACCAATAGATTTAAGCTTGTATAGCTTGCAGTGAATAATGTTATCAATTGTTCCAGCAGTGTCATCAATCTTAAAAGCTCCAGCTTGAATTCCTCCAACAGTATTAGGGCCAATGACAACCTGCAAAAGATACAATAATTAAAGTTAGTATCGCTAGTTCATTTTCACAGGTTACTGAAATTAAGATGAGTTTGCATCAATGGTGTAACCTTGTTGTTTGCCCGTGCATATGCGATCAATTGCTTTGTGTCTGACTTAGGTACACCTTCAGTAATAATTGCCACAACTCTAATGGTTGGTTGCATAGAAGCAGCCATGGAAGAAGTGGGAGCATTGCAGATATATCAACATACATTCATCATTAGGTACAACTATAGAAGTTTCGCACTCCAGAACACTACTCATAGAATAATCATTGACTTTCTGTATGAAGCAAAGTTAATTAAGACATTAGCAGTAGGATGTGAAGCGTATGATGCTTCAATAGTTATCAACACAAAGGTTAGACAATCTTGAAACAACAGATTAAGAATGGTAATCTGACTATGAACATGATTTGAATACATTGGATATGGAAAATTAAGATCAACCAAGCATATATGCATATACATAACTATACAAAAGGTAGTTTGTAGCCACAAAAGTCAAAATTTAGGAAGAGGATGAGAGAATGGCGACTTACTTTGAGTGCATTGATATGGCAATTTCCTCTTAACAGAAAAATAGCTTCTGAAATCTCTCATAACCGGGGTTAATGATTCCAGCAAACTGATGGTGTCTTCTTCCCTATTACAAACCTCAGTTATTACATTTACATCATTTTCAAAAATTAAAAACTATAAGCAAGATCAAGTTTGAAGTCAAAATTTGGAAATGATACACATTGCAAAGGAAGTCAAAATTGAGTTAGAAGCACTTGATATATCTTGCGAGCGATAATGTTGTTATCCCTAGTAAGAGTCACATCTAGGCAGCGTTCATTGTTGCTAGGGTCCAAATCAACCTACAATTACGATTAGAGTTTAAACAAACTCACCATCGCTTAAACTTTAAAGATAAGACTAACACTCAACATGATACCAAAATAGAATGCAAAAATAAATTAAAGATATGATTAAAATTATTTGTTCTAATCGAACATATTTTCTAATTTTCTTATCCAATTATACAATTGCAGTTCCTAAAACAAATAATAATTAAAAAATAATTTGCAGAAAGAAAATTAGAAAATTCAAACTTGATAACAATCTACCTTAAGAAAACCCATGACCGAGTAACAGCAACAACAACATTGAGACATAATTTGGTGAATATATATGGCAGACAAATTTAACAACTCTAGTATTGTTAACAAAGCTTCAACCAATACAACGGAAATCAACTCAATATATACCTGCATATCCTGAGTCTGAATTGTACACTCGTGCCCTGCAATGTCTTGGTGAGTGACTCTTGCTACGAATTGGTACGATGCTGATTATCTTGTAAATCTGCAAGCAAAATATACATATTGTTAGGAAAAAAGTGTTTATATATCAAAATGTGTAATATGCAAGTTTTCAATTGCAGATGTATGCAAGCTATAACCTGTTGTTAAATTTTGCAGAACATCTTTGTAAACTATATTTTTTGTAAATGTATTTGGCATTTCATTGTTGTTAGTAATTAAAACTTTGAGACCCTCTCTTGATGTGACTCTAGATAATGCAACATATAATTGACCATGAGTGAAGACAGGTTGTGGTAAATAGAGTCCCACTTGTTTCAATGATTGTCCTTGACTTTTGTTAATTGTCATTGCATAACATGGTCTTATTGGAAATTGACGTCTTTTAAATACAAAAGGCCATTTGTTTTCAGTTGCTGTCAAGGTTATTCTAGGAATGAAAACTTTGTAATTAATGTTGCTGCCAGCAAGTATTCTAACTTCAATAATTCTATCAAATAATTGAGTCACAACTAATCTTGTTCCATTACATAAACCTAAAGATTGGTTTAAATTTCGGAGCAACATAATAGGCATTCCAATTTTTAAAAATAACTTGTGTGAAGGCAAGCCATTGAAATCAAGTGTGTTGAGAAATTCTGTAGGATACATTATACTAAGAGTCTCAAAATTTCCAGAAGATGAGTATAAAGAATCAGAGCTTAAATAAATGTGTTTTTGACCAGGTAACAAATCTATTGCATAATCATTTATCTCCGCTACAATATTATTTTTTGGTGTAACAATAGCTCGCTCTCGTAAATATTCAAAACTGGCAAAATTATTTTCAAAGTCTGGATAAGTTGCTGAAAAAATAGAATGAATAGGATCAGAGTATGAATGAATGAGTAAATCATCTGGAATTTCAATCCAACATGTATCTTTGTCATTTGAATCAAATGTATCTCCAATTTGGCCATCACCTATCTGTAAAATCCAAGATGCAAAATTAGCAAGTTTTTCCTTTTGATCATTGTTTAATCCCTTTTGTGAAAGCCTCATATTTTCCTTCAACTGAAATACTTTGAAAAAATGCCATAAATAAGAGTTATTTAAAGAGGCATCTATTATCTCTTCTTTTGTTCCAGCGGGAATAACTGGTAAAATTTGCCTAAAGTCACCGCCTAATAAAAAAGGTTTACCACCAAATGGAGCACTTTTATTTGAATCGTTTGAATGTGATAAAATATCAGAAAGTGACTTGTCTAATGCTTCAAAACAATGTTTATGATTCATAGGAGCTTCATCCCAAATAATAAGATCTGCTTTTTCAATTAATTTAGCAAGATGAGTCCCTTTCTTAATTTGACATGTTGAGCAATCTGTAACTATGAGAGGAATTTTAAATCTGGAGTGAGCAGTTCTACCACCTGGTAAAAGTAATGAAGCTATTCCAGATGAAGCAACTGCTAAAACAATTTTACCCTCATATCTGATTTTACTTATTATTGTATGCCATAAAAATGTTTTTCCAGTTCCTCCATGGCCATAAACAAAAAAGAGACCCGACTTTTTTTCATTCACAGTACTAATAACACAATCATAGACAAATTTTTGGGATTCATTAAGCTGTGTTACCAAAACAGAATGTTCTCTACTTAAATCATCACAATTGTAATTTAATTCTTCCCTCAACAATTTGTTTCTAATTTCTGACATTTTTCTTTCATCAGGCATAGGCAAATTATGATCTTTTAAAGAGCTAGATGATGCATTAAATAGTTGCTCTAATTCAAATAGAAGAGAATTTTTTAATTCGAATTCTGGTAAATTTAGAGTTGGCATTGCGAAAGATTTTCGAAGCTCATACAAAATGTCATCACACATATATTGCCAATGACTATTAAAAAGTTGTTGAGGATTTGCTATTTCACAAAATAAAATCATTGTAACAAATAATTGCCTCAACTCGCGAGATGTTGCAATATTAACTGCATTTTCTAAAGCTTCAATCCACTCTTTATCATCCCCTAGTAAACCCAAACATTTACACGCAGCTTGATACGATGGTTGAATAATGCCGTTCACAGTTCTAATGTCATCAAAATTGAGAACACCTTTTTGAATATTGAGAAGCATTCTTAAATAGTATAACTCACCTGATGCAGGATGCACGTAGGCAATTCTGCCTATGGATCCTCCTTTTCTTTTCCTAGGCTTCCAAATCTTATGTCGAGATTCCCATAGAAACTTTGATGGCAATTCTGCATAAGTTAATGTTCGCGCTTCAGGAAAAAATTTATTTATTTCAAACCAACTTGTCAACATTGTGTTTTCAGAAGCTTTTTGATTAACAATTGATTCAAGTGATTGTTTACTATTGAAAACAATAGTTTGTTCCAAAGGAAGATGTACTGGCAATCGTTCAACAGGAGGTTCTCTCATATGAATTGGATACTCAAACAATCTCCAAACAGCTTCGTATGGAGATATATATCTACAATTTAGATAAGCAAGTATTTCATTGTTTGAATTCTCTTTAAAAACAATTCTTGCTCGATCTGAACCTTTGTTTATGTATTTGAAAAGATATTTTATAAGCATTGATTGACAACATGATTCAACATTTATATGAGCATTGTATCTCAATAATAAATTTGAATTGTAAGGTACAACAAAACTGTTATCAATTTGCATCCCATTTTTAACCACAAATTTTGACGAATCATCACGACGCCTATACACAGGAAAAGTATTTGTTTCAAAAATTGTTTCACTTTTGTATTGCTTTGGGAAAAACTTAGAACATTTTCCCTCTCGCATGCATGGAGAATTTTGATTAAGTTGTCCGCAAGGACCATGAATCATGAATTGGTTGACAATTTCATAAAGGAGAGGATCTGAATTTTTATTTGGTATTTCAGCTGAAATGATGGAATCTATGTCATCCGCAGAGTAGCATTTGTAAGGCTTCTTTAACCAAATTAAGATGTGAGCGTGAGGCAATCCTCTTTTCTGAAACTCGATTGTACAAATATCTGTTTGCAATCAAGTTAGGAAATATATAAATCACAGTCAATTTCATTGTAAAGAAAAAAAGAAAGAAATTGAGAAAAAAATTTATTTCTTAAACTCACCTACTTCAACTTCTCCAAAAGGTTCTCCTGATTTTATGTAGCAAATCATATCATCAAGTTTCATCTTAAAAACCCTAGAAATGATATCTGGTCTATCCTCTGACTTGTATCCAAGTTTTATATCAAATTCTCTCACAATTTCAGGCCATTTGATATTGCAAGTGAATGTTATGAACAAATCAGGATTACCAAATTGTCTACAAATAGCCATTGCATCTTGATAGTTGTTAAGCATATATCTAGGGCTTCCTGTGTATGAGCTAGGTAATATTACTTTTTTGCCTATGTTATCAGCATCATGATCACCTTTTGATACAGCGTCATAAATACCTTTATACACCTCACTTCGTAAATTTTTTTGATTTTTTCTAATGTAATCCAATCGATCCTCTTCAAGTGTTGCATAAGCATCCACCAAAAATTGTTGAAAAAGTCTTCCTCCTTTTAACAATGTATCTACTTGAGACTCCCTTTCTTGAATTTGATAGGCTATAAATGCTCTCATAGTCACTCTTCCTCTTTTACATGGGCGATTGTTTGAGGGAATATTCAATTTCAAATCAGGTCTGTATCCATCTTCACCATATGGAAAAAGAATGGGATATTGTAAAGACATAAATTTTGGATTTAATTTTGTCACACGTTTTAGTTCACCATCTTTAAACTCTATGACAATATCTCTATTTGAGTCAAATTGACCAATATCACCCACAATTAAACCAGCGATTTCATCACATATAGGCTGTCCATATTGTTTATCATCATTTAATTGCCTACCCAATATAGTTATTTTCAAAGAAGGAAGAGAATTGTTTTCAAATTTATCTCTAATTGTTCGAAACACTTGAACCAATTCATTTGATTCATTGAACATGTTGATCAAACCTTTGACAATATTCTGATCAAGCTTCATATTTGTTTCCTTACAATTAACAGCATTGAGACGATTTCCAATTTCATTAGCAGTATCATACACATATAGTTGTGCAAACTTTGGACATTCACCATCAGGGGGTAATAAAGAGCCCATTAAATGATGCACTTGACCACTAATTTTAAAAATGTAAGGGCCTGATTGATTATTAACTGTGTGATCAACTTTAGCTCCCATTGAAGTAAATGCAAACATTGAATTATAAGCTCTAATGTTTTGTCTAAACAATAAGCTTGTTTGGCCTTTAGTTGGGTCAAGCAAATTTTCTAAAAAGTGAGGAGTAGGCATTGGACGTGGAAGCTTGACTTTTCCTTGTTGGCAACAAAGAGAATAAAGGGGCTCATTATTCTTGGACTTCTGCTTTAAAGACTCTTTTAGCCAAAAAAGTGCACCACAATGGATGCACTTATAATTTTTGTCTCCCAAATCCACATATTTCTGAACATTTCCTATTGAAAAAACAGGTGAAGGGAGGGAAAAAAAAAAGTCAACCTATTAGAAACAAAGTCATAAATACATAACCAACCCAAATAAATTGTAAGTTAAAAAGTTAGTTTACCTTTTTTATTTTTCTGAAAATTGGCTTGACCTTTACTAATTTGATTCGGATTATCAAATGTATCGACATTGACAATTGTTTGAACTGTGTTTGTACTTGTTGAACACACATTGTCAACATTTTTTTGTCTTTTGTTTTCAAATTCAAAACTTGGTTTATCACAAACTTGTATGCCACTGGAAGAACCAACAATATGATCTTCTTTTCGTCTTTTGTTCTGAGGTTCAAAGCCTGGTTTATCACAAACTTGTATACCACTGGAAGAACCAACGATATGGCCTTCTTGTATCATTCTATTCAGTTTGGTATTTCTAGACCTTGTTAACATGGCTTGAAAAATGTTTGAACTCCAAACAACAGATAATGGGATGAGAACCCTAGGAAAAAAAGTCAATTATTAAATACTTGACAATATGTAATCTACAATCAACCAAAACAAACACATAGAGGTTACATTTCGAAACTATTATGCAAAAACCAACCCTAATAATGATTCAGAAAACCTTAGTTAACTATCTTTTATGATTGAAACTACACTATAAAATGTTAAATCCTTATGTAGACATGCAATCCAAAACGAAGACAAATTTGAAAGATGTGAGCCTTACCTGACAACGGATTAAACAGAAGGCACAGAAATAAGATATGCAATTGGAGTTGTACTGTAGCAGCCACTGCTTTCTAAATTCAAAGCTGGGAATAAGAAAATAGAATACATTTAAAGTCATGCAATTAAAATTGCAAACAAAGATCTAAATTCTCAAATATGCAATCCAATAAATAAGATCGTCGTCACAGATTATTATAATTTAATTACCAAAAGATTATGATAAAGTTGTAAATAAATAAATTGCAACATATTTAGAAAACACTCGAAGAGAAACAATTTTAAACATTAGCTTTTATCAAATCGATCTTTGATTGATATCTTATGATCTAACTGGAAAAAGGGTTTAACAGAACATCAGGCTTACAATAGTGAACTTTCATGCTCCTTTAAAACAATGCAAAAAGATCCCTCCCTATATTTAGAAAATAATTTAGGATTTTTGTGCTTAAATTAATAACAAAATTTATTAATATAGATATTAAGGATCAATTAACTTTGGCCCAAAACTAAAATCATATATGGGTTGACAATCCCTAATTTATTAGGATTAGAGACTGATTAATACAACTATGCCTCAGTAGAAAGTTGGAAAGACAGGCAGAGGGTGAACTCTGACTATTGTCAATTCGGCCAACATGCAAGATTTATTAGAATTAGAGATCCATTAATACAACTATGCTTTAGTCTAGTACTTTTTTAAAAAAAAAAAAAATTTTTATCATTAATAAAGAAGACTGAAAACTTGAAATTAAAAATTTAGACAAATAAATTTGAGAAGGATGAAGATTTTAGAGAGAGTGAGGAGAAAGAGAAATAGAGGGAGACCTTGGGTGAAGAGGTGATTGACGATTTCGTTGGGGGAGTACCTTAATGCAGTTTTTCACAATTTTTACAATTAAAAAACGGATAAACACAACATGACTGAAGGACACAAATCAGAACAAAAAACAACCTAATTTTGAGACAAATCTGAGTGGCAAGCAAAAGCCCTGGTTTTTTTTTTTTTTTTTTGGGGTAATGGCCAAGCAACTGATATATGGGCGTGTGACACCTGTGAGAAACGATAAGAGTACAATTTTAATACCATTCATATGCAAGCTAATCAATTCAATCATGCTCAAACCAATATAGCCTAATACGAAAGGAAAAGTTGAAATTTAATCATGTTAAATTCATAATTTTTTAACATCCATTTCCATCATAATAACCACCACATCATCATATTATCACAACTATTAAATCAAAAGAGATATTATAGATTAATTACTCAATTAAGATTGATTGAAGGACACAAATCGGAACAAAAAACAACCTAATTTCGAGACAAACCTGAGTGGCAAGCAAAAGCCCCGGTTTTTTTTTTTTTTTTGGGTACTATTAAATCAAAAGAGATATTATAGATTAATTACTCAATTAAGATTGACTGAAGGAATTAATCAGAAAGTTAGGCGTTTAGTATATATATAATTTGATAATTATCAAGGAATATCATCTATAAATGACAAAAACAAATTATAGTTGTAGCAATGATTTCACCTTTGTTTATTTTTCTTTTAGAATAGGTCCTACATGTGTCTTAATCTCTTATGAACAGTTATTTGATTGAGTCTAAAAGCTTCGGTCAAACATTTCAACAATAAAAAATCTTCAATCCATTCAAATTATGTATTAAATTTTATTATCAAATATAGGAAACAATGAATAAAAAATACTATTCATAACATACTCAATTTGTTTTCTTAATTATTCGTTTCCTCTGCACAACTCAAATTAATTCGAAGTTTTTTTTGCTCGGAAATCAAACGATGGGTTAGAAAACAAAGCTTACAACTTAAATAGAAAAGAACAACCTACTGCAAGCAACATATCGTCCACTTTGCAGATTTTTGTGGAACCACTTTGCAGGTTTTGTGGAACCACTGTGCATGTTTTGTGGAACCACTTTTCAGGTTTTGTGGAACCACTTTTCAGGTTTTGTGGAACCACTTTTCAGCTTTTCTGGAACCACTTTACAGGTTTTGTGGAACCACTTTACAGATTCAAATCTTTAAGCCTAAACAAATATAAAAGTTTACTGCAAGTTTATAGTTAATCGGGTCACATTCTCCTTCCTCTGCAAATAAACAAATCAAAATTCGATGCCGAAAACTATTTAAAATATATATATATATTTGTTGTTTTACTTTTCTTTTAAAAAAAATGCATACAATTTTACACATTTTCAAATCTACATATTTTTAAGATCTTGTAATTCTTCAATAAATTTATTAGTTTGGCATTCTCAATCCAAAAAGACTAAAATTGTTATCTTCACAGTATCAAAGATTGTTGGTTGTCGTCGCTATAGTGTTTCCAATCATATAGTCATTTTGGATAATTTACAATTGATTTTACCACAATTAAAGCTAACTTTATTAATTGCAATGTAAATATTATTCAATCACTCACAACACACCATTTCCCTTTTTCACAAAAAACAGAGACCCATTTTTCATTATTTATTGAGAAAAACTATTTGCAAATGGCCAAAACTTAAATATCCAAACAAAAACCACAAAAAACTCATATGCAAACAAAAAATAGTCCCTCCGAAAAAAAAACTAAAAACTAAAAAAAAAAAATCCATTCCATCCAACAAAAGATTAAGGGAAAAGGAAAAAAATTATAACCTAATTTCGAGACAAACCTGAGTGGCAAGCAAAAGCCCCGGTTTTTTTTTTTTTTTTGGGTACTATTAAATCAAAAGAGATATTATAGATTAATTACTCAATTAAGATTGACTGAAGGAATTAATCAGAAAGTTAGGCGTTTAGTATATATATAATTTGATAATTATCAAGGAATATCATCTATAAATGACAAAAACAAATTATAGTTGTAGCAATGATTTCACCTTTGTTTATTTTTCTTTTAGAATAGGTCCTACATGTGTCTTAATCTCTTATGAACAGTTATTTGATTGAGTCTAAAAGCTTCAGTCAAACATTTCAACAATAAAAAATCTTCAATCCATTCAAATTATGTATTAAATTTTATTATCAAATATAGGAAACAATGAATAAAAGAAATCATATTCATACATGGATACACGAATACACAGAGACATTACATAGACCATTTGATACAAAAAAATCAAGATGCTCACACAAACACTATTCATAGATCCATGACTAAGAATTTCTCAGATCCCGGTTGAAATTAATTAAATAAAAAAAATTTCATGGAAGCGATTTATACCTCTGATATTCTCAGCTCCGTGTCCCTTGATTCCTTCGCCAGCTTGGTTCATCTTCTAATCCATTTATTGGGTCTTCATAGACTTCTCCAAGTACAACCTGCAGACAGAAACAACACTCATTATGCAAGTGTAGCATGCCAATTTGTAAATATAACGACCCGTATTTTTCAGTATTCAAAATCAAAAGTAGTTCATTGGTCCACATTATGCAAGATTTGCACCGAAAACGATATAGTGTAGCATGAAAACTCAAATCAAAGACTGAACCTAAACTCAAGTATCCACATTCATGCCGAGAACGATAAATGAAAGACGTACAAAATATCAAACCATGACAAAGATTTAAAATTTATTCCTAATCCATCAAACTTTTGAAATTTTTACAAACTGGGTTCAATTTACTACACAGAAAAATCCAACAATACAGAAAAATCCATACCTTTAACCAAGAAAACCTTCACAATATGAGAGGTTAAGTCAATCTGCAACACAATAAATTGATCACATCAAACAATAGTAGATATAATCAAATCGAATTAGAGTATTGATGAAGAAGAAATGAAAAGAAGAGGGTTACTCTGCTCTCTGCGTTCAGTATCTTCCTGGAATCAAAACCTCCAAAAGACTAAAACGAAATTGATGTGGAAAACCCATTTGGAATCCAAATTTACATCCCTGAATTAGTTGGAGCAAATCAATTGATAAACACCCATAACACAGTAAACCAAAAATGAATATACAAACACAGAATAAATAAAAAAGATCCAAAAAACAATTCAAGAGAATCTGCACACGTAAGAATTTACTGCACACGTAAGAAACAGCACGGTAAACCCAAGAGAATCTGTCAGATAGAAATTAAAAATCAGTATGCACGAAAGACCAAAATAATCTTTGAGGCGCCATTTTTACATTAACAAACTCAAAATTCAAATCAGTCCCCAAAATTCAAATCAGATCGGAATCCAAAGCAAAGCAGATCAAAATCCAGTACCAATTACAACAAAAAAAAAAACACAAAATTTGAAAAACATTAATACAAACACACACACAATAATCATCAAATTACAGAAAAATACACAATTAAACACCTAATCGGAATCGTTGACATGCAACAGAAGGAACGATGCAAATGGACATCAATCAGACAGCTATAGCCACGGACGAATCAACCAAACAAACTAATTTGAAAAGAAAAATCGAAAATTTAATCCATTTTTATATAAATGATAAAAACAATTAGGGATCTGGGAGATTGAACGGAATGATGATCGGAGGGAGGAAATTAGGGTTAGAGAAGAGAGCGAAAGAGCGAGCAGAGAGAGGAGACTTACAGTTCGGGATCGAGACGAAGAGGACGAATCTGTAAGGATGAGATTGTGGTGTGAGGATCGCAACGCAGCAAGAGAGGGAAGGGGGGGAGAGAGAGAGAGAGAAACAGACAACTGGAGATCGAAATCGAAATCAAAAAAGGAAGGCTCGAGAACTTCTGGAACTATGAAAACGCGTCGACATCTCATAAAAGTAGAGGACGCGTGGAGAAATCGACAGATTTCTACCGCACAGCAGGGACAAAAACGCCATTTTACTGTATAATAAACACAAAAAACAAAACTTAAAGAACAATTAAAGGGCAAAAACGGAAGAACACTGGCGAAGTAACAGTAAAAAGGACACAGAAGGAATTAACAGGAAGTTAGGCGTTTAGTATATATATAATTTAATGCCTTCCTTCATTTTGATGGCTTTATTTCATTTAATCATACTAATTTCTACTTTACCTTTCTAGAGTTCGTTCGCCAAGGAACTCTGTTCAAAACTATTACAACAGATTTCTTCCCATCTTTTTATTTTATGAGATCTCATTGGAAACCATATAAGGACAACTATTTAATATAGCTATTTGTACAAGTATTTTACCATTAAGAAGTAATTGTCTATTGTACAAATTATGTATAAACTTACCATAACTAAAGTTTACTAATTGTGATTCATAACCGATGAAAATCTCTCTTTTGTCTACCTCTATCCCGGTGAGCCGAAACCAAAGCTCTTTATTGATATTAGGCATAAAAAAACACATGAAAGTAGTAAATATAATATAAATGGATATAGTGGCTTTCGACGTTTCTATGGTTAATTCTTAAACTGTGAGGTCCTCTATACAACAAATCCCTTCTTTCTTTCATTTAATTAATGTTATTGTTAACTTGTACAATTCACACTCTTTGGCGCTACCCATATTTATTCAGTACTAGGTCTTCCACAATGAGATCTACTTATACAGTAACAATATTTAATTATGAAGATAAGCTGAGTAGTTGATCATGTTCGTTCGATCGTGCCAGAGTAAGGCATAAATTTAAAATAGTATTTCACTTGCTTAATGAATATAAGCCATCAATGGAGAATTGTTTCTCATCTTAAATTTAAAACGGAGTTGATTGGATTTGCACCAATGAAATCATACATTTGATACCACAATAGAAGGATATATCTTTTTTATCTTTAGATATTGAATAGAGTTCTTCCATTCTAGTCTGCATTGGTACCGATCAATGATACTTGATCAATTATTTTCTTTCTTTTGTCCTAGCCCATGATCTAAACGAGTCGTATATACACCCTATTACATGTCCCTCGTCATTGAGGGCATCCCTCAAAAGCGGGGGATTTCCTGACATTCTGATTGGTTGCCTTGTGTTTCTAATAAGTTGCTTAATAGTTGGTATATTGAATCATATACATATAGGTTTAGATTGATCTTAACCGGATGATTATGAATTATTTTTTTATATTAATAAATTAATGAAAAAATATTAAATCCGGTAAGAAGATAAATCTTGTTAAGATTAAGAGCCTATTGGCGTGAAAACAAAAAAGTTCATGACGCTGAAATAGGCCTCTCAATAGATCAGATAAAATCAGAAATAACTTTTATCTCATACTACTCTTTTGATACATGATTTAAGAGTTGAAAAAAAAATTCTCATATCAAAATCGAAGTGCCATGCTATTATTCTTAATATTCATATATCATATAGCATGAAGGAATAGTCTACTTTTTTTTTCTCAAATCAAATAAAAAAATCATTGGCGTCAAGCGTGAGGGAATGCTTCATTTGGTAATTTCTCCTCCAACTAAAGTAAAAGATCCCACTGAAGCGGCTAATCCATGCTTATCGTTTGTATATGTGGTTGCACAAATGGGAAGGGACAATTTCAATATTTTTCCATACGTAATCCTTTGTATAGGCTTTGAGGTAGACGTTTAGTAAGATGGTATGGATTTTCCAATATGCCCAAGGTCCTTGCTGGCTGCAATATGATGAGAGGCTACTCCTTTGGGAACAAAAAATCGAAACCCTCTACACCCCACGCTAGATTTATGTATTGTACCTTTCCAGTTAGTCCATAAGAATCAGGCACCCGTATTCTAGGACCATACAATCCTCTTACATGAAATGCATCACCAAAGAAAGCCACCCCTAATAGAAATAAATGAATTCCGAAAATCAAAAAACAGTTTTGTTGTATGTTCATCAATAAATATTTCTAGATACACCCAATGCATATAGCTGCCAAAAAGAACAAGTCCGAAAACACAATATGTGCTTGGGCCACACCTTCGTAACTCTAAATACTCGGATTTGTTATAGTGCCCCATGTGATAACTCAACTATGGACATGGAGTACAAACTACCAAGATGGAGTACGGTACGGGAATAGGAAATTTTCAGTAGTCCTAGCTGTAAATGATGGATACTAGGCGTTGTGCATATCGACCCGTCTAGTGTTGTAGCTAGTGCGTTAAGTATCTCACATAGAGAGTACGTTCATAAGAATGAACCTTAGAAGGAAATGTCAGAAGCCAACACAAAGTTGTGGAGCATGTGGTTTAATTTGATGCAAGGCGAAGAAGCTTACCAGAGCTTGACATGTTGTGAATCCTCTTGAAAGAAAGGGGCACCTTATGGTTAGAATTTTCATTCAATCTCCAAATATGATAAAATCGATTCTAAAGGGGTTGAGAAAAACCAACTCTAAGTTATATCTCTACCTGTTTTTAATTTTTTGGATGTTGGGTTACCCGATTAAGCACGATAACATTTTTTGGATGTTGGGATTTTGCATAATAAAGCTATAACTCGGCCCATTCCAAGCCCAATGAAAAATCTCAATAGTTCAGCCCAGACCTACAAAAACCTAGGGTTTCACTGAGCCGTCATTACTATAAATTAGATCTGTTAGGGTTTTTTCCTCACCACTCCTTGCCGAAACCGAGCATCAGAGAGAGAGAGAGAGAGAGAGAGAGCAGAGAGAAACAATGGTGAAGTTTCTGAAGCCAAACAAGGCGGTGATCAACCTCCAGGGCCGCTACGCCGGGCGTAAGGCCGTCATCGTGCGCGCCTTCGACGAGGGCACCCGCGATCGTCCCTACGGCCACTGTTTGGTTGCGGGGATCAAGAAGTACCCCAGCAAGGTCATCCGCAAGGATTCCGCCAAGAAGACGGCCAAGAAATCCAGAGTGAAGGCCTTCGTCAAGCTTGTGAACTACCAGCACCTGATGCCCACCCGGTACACGCTGGATGTGGATCTCAAGGACGTCGTCAACGTCGAGTCTTTGCAGACCAAGGACAAGAAGGTCACTGCATTGAAGGAGGTGAAGAAGCGGTTCGAGGAGCGGTTCAAGACCGGGAAAAACAGGTGGTTCTTCACCAAGCTCAGGTTCTGAGAAAGGAGATTCAACAGCGCCGTATCGGAAATGGGGTCTGATTTGCCTACTGTGTTTTTTTTTTCAAGTTAAAAGTTTTAATTTTTGGAATTAAATGGATGTGACCTCTTCATGGATTTATGGATTAACGTTTAGCTAAACACTTAAATTTTGCTGTTATTGAGATATTTAATTTGGTGGCATTCCTTGTTAAGCTATGTTTTTCTGCGATTTTAGACCAGCATTGCTCTTCTGTGTTGATTGAAATGTTTATTTCTTGCAATTGCTTTGTCAATTTTACTTCGGGATTCGTAGTGATTGGATTTAAGTTTTAGGTTATTTTGAGCTGCTAGATGTGCTCTGTCGATTGCCTACTTGTGAAATTTTGTTTTGCACCGATGTTCTGCTTTTGGCCCTTGAACCATGTTGTTTCGGGTTTATGTGATTGAATTGTATGTTGTGGCTTCTTGTTTGTCAGTGTCATTGTCAGTTGATAAAATCTTAACCGATGTTTGTTGTCTGTCAATATCATTGTTGGTTAATAAAATCTTCGCCGATGGGTGTCTTGAGTTTTATGTTTGTGCTTGTGGTAAAATTAGGGTTCAAGTTAGATAGGACCTCAAACTTCGGACTTTATTGATTAGACATTGTTTATCATTTCAGCATGATGTGTTGAGTTGAGTCATCGACTGGTGGCTGGTGATCGAATGATTTTGGTGTCAAAATACAGACGTGAATGAAGTTGATGTCTGTTTTCGGTTGTAACTTATAATCATGTGGTTCTGCTTGTTTTGTGTTTATCATGAAAGGATTCGATGCTAAACCGATGTAGCATTGTATGGATTGATTTGGTGGTGTGAATTTTTTGTTGCAATTTGCAAACATTTCCATGCCAACTCTTTCGGAGATGATTTTCAGTTTTTCATGTGTAGGCAAGTACAGTATTTGCTCGTAGGCCTAATCTTGTAATGTGAGGTTTAATCCATTTCATCTTTGCCTTAGTCTCTTGAGGTGGAGCTGCCTCGTGTGGATGCTTGTTTCATAGAACAGGTTTCTGAAAATCAAAACTCCGAGAGAAGTCTCGCTTTCATATTCATGTCGAAAATTATGCAATTTGGTTTTGAATTCCGAGAGAAGTCTCGTTTTCACTAGTTTTCTCATGTTTCTTTGTTGATTCATCCAATTCGAAGGCTGAAAAAACTGGAGGGGTTCAGTGGAAGAAAGTCGTGTGTGCGGAAATCACTTCCCATCTAACGAAACTTTACAATTCTCAATAGAAGCCTTAGTGAAAATCCTCTGTATCTATTCATTAGATGCATTCAAATTCGCAAAGCACAATCCTAATCTCCAAATTCCCAAGCAGAACCCTTCTAAATATAAAACATATGTCAAACAGACTTCCATTGACGAGCAATTCCGGTTCCCTGCCTGCTCAAGTCTGCGCTGCTCCGTGTCACCGCGGCCTTGGCACTCCGCCACTTGACCACCGGAAGTAGAGAATCCTTCTTTACCAGTTGAAGAGCCAACCGCCCCTATCGTTCAACACTCAGTTTATTCTTTTTGATGGCCACTTGCTCAGTTTGCTCATTTTGACGTTCGAGTTTTGTAAATTCAAAATTTTTTTTCAATAATCCGATCTACTTAGTAGTATGTGAAATGATTAATCATGATTGAATTGATAAATATTATTTTTGCTTATTTGTTAATCTAAGTGGATATAAACCAGAAATACTAAGAGTTTGGACTTTGAAGACTTGACCTTCTAACTTATGTACACCCTCCCACAGAATCTTTAATGATTGTCTGCCCTCCTACGGTGCCCTTCCGTGTCTTCCTGTTTGTGTGATAATGGTTAAGCCACGTCAACATTTTATATTACTATTCATTTTTATCTTATTATCTCTATAAAAAAAACAATATAAATTGTTGACGTGGCTTAATCGTGACCACATAAAACATGAGGGCACGGAAGGACACTGAAAGTGTGAAGGCAGACAATCTTGTCTGATAGGGAGCTAAGTCTTTTATATTGAAAATGATGAATCAAAGGGAGCTAAGTCTTTTATATTGAAAATGATGAATCAATTTATTTTACATCAATTCGCAGTGTACAATACGTTTAAGTGATTCCGATTCACACGCTAAATTCTCTAGAATGCTTTATTTTTGGTCGTTATATTTTAACAGCATATATCACACACGTGTGATATTTCTTTTCATATGTAAGTAAGACGTCTTATGTTCGATTATCGTCAAATGTAAATTTGAACTACATTATTATTAGCTCATGATGAAGTTTATCTCACTCTCTCACATTTTTAGTATAAATAATATTGTTTGTTCAGAAAAAAACAAGATCAGAAAAGAAAGAAAACGATGAAGTCCAACTAAGCGTCCAAGGTTGTACAGCTTGCAAAGCCGCCATCTAAAGTTCCAAAAATTTGAGAATTTTGAATGGTCTAGATGTTTGCATACAACCATACATACAAACAATATTCAAATCTCTCTCTCCTGTCTCTCTCTCTCTCTCTCTCTCTCTCTCAACATAAAGTTAACAATCCACACAAAGACAAACCCTCCCCCTAAACATCGTCCCGAGAATCCAAAGATGATGCTAATTGCACCATTAATCAACTTATCAACCCTTAACTTATTCATTTAAATCCACAATCAACCCACCCTTATTCTATATTTTCCCTAATCCCCCAACACAACAAACGGACTTAACGACAACGCCTAAACGGAGTCCCTAACGAGGACGATTTCCCCACACGTGTCAACTCCTCACCCCCCACACGCTCCGGAATTTTTTTTTCATTGTGCTAGAACCTAGCCCGATGGACCAAGTTTTATAGTAAGTGACGAAATTGTTTTTCAAGCATTCAATTAGTTGTATTATAATATTTTAAATTTTTTAGTGTATCAAAAATACGAGTTAATATATTAAAAAATCTCTTCACATGTTTATAATTATTAGCGAAATTTTTTTTAGTATGTTAAAAATATAATTCGATATATAATTTATAATACAAGTATTTGAAATTTTTATCCAAGCACATTTGTTATGAATCTTATGATATCCGTATGTCAATGAAAAATCTCTCCAATTGCCTCCCCCCTAAAGTTGTAGACTTTCTGTTTCATTTCCTGTAATTTCTCTCACTTTCTCGCACTCTCTCTCTCTCCAAACAGCTTTCTCTCTCTACTTTCTCTCCTCCCTCTCTCTCTGACAAAGCTTTCTGCAGAACTCTCTGTACGGGCGTTTGGTTGTCTTTCTCGCTTTTCTTTGTCTCTTTCCGCTCGAAAGCTTCCGAGCTTTTTATATTCTCTCCACACTTCCTCCTTCCTCCTTCTCCTCTACCAGTCATGCTTCAGAGCTTAATTGCTCAATCCCCAATCGCCGCCGCCAACCCTAACAATAACAACCCTACCTCCTCCTCCTCTTCCATGAAGACCAAGCGCGTTGACCGCGACCTCGCTGGCAGTGGAAGTGGCGATTGCGACGCTGAAGACCCCTCCTTCACCAAGCGCCTCAATTCGGGCCGAAACTTCCGTGAAAAAACCGCAGACGATCGTGACACCGAACCGGTGGAGGAGGGCGAGTCGGCCGGACTCAGACTGTTGGGGCTCCTGCTACAATGCGCCGAGTGCGTCGCCATGGACAAACTTGACGACGCCAGCGACCTGTTACCGGAGATCGCGGAGCTATCATCGCCTTTCGGGTCGTCGCCGGAGCGAGTCGGCGCGTACTTCGCGCACGCACTGCAGACGCGCGTGGTCAGCTCCTGCTTAGGTGCCTACTCGCCGCTCACTGCCAAAACCCTAACGCTCGCTCAGTCGCAGCGGATCTTCAACGCGCTCCAATCCTACAACTCCATCAGTCCGCTAGTCAAATTCTCTCACTTCACGTCCAATCAGGCGATTTTCCAGGCGCTGGACGGCGAGGATCACATCCACGTCATCGATTTGGATATAATGCAAGGCCTCCAGTGGCCAGGATTGTTCAACATCCTAGCCTCGCGGACGAAGAAGATCCGGTCAATGCGGATAACCGGGTTCGGGTCCTCGTCGGAGCTCCTTGAGTCGACGGGGCGAAGACTCGCCGATTTCGCGAGCTCGCTTGGCCTCCCCTTCGAGTTCCAGCCGCTGGAGGGCAAAATCGGGAGCATAACCGAGCTGAATCAGCTCGGAATCAAACCGAGCGAGGCCACCGTGATCCACTGGATGCACCATTGCTTGTACGACGTCACCGGCAGCGATTTGGCAGCGCTGAGGCTTGCTGGGCTCTCTGAGACCGAAGCTGATCACGATCGCCGAGCAGGATTTGAGCCACAGCGGCAGCTTCTTGGGAAGGTTCGTGGAGGCCTTGCATTACTACAGCGCGCTGTTTGATGCGCTCGGGGACGGACTGGGCGCGGACAGCCTGGAAAGGCATATGGTGGAGCAGCAGCTGTTCGGCTGCGAGATTAGGAACATCCTCGCGGTGGGCGGGCCGAAGAGGACCGGAGAGGTGAAGGTGGAGAGGTGGGGGGATGAGCTGAAGAGGGTCGGGTTTCGGGGCGTTTCGCTTGGCGGGAACCCGGCAGCGCAGGCAAGCTTGCTGCTGGGGATGTTTCCGTGGAAAGGGTACACCTTGGTGGAGGAGAATGGGTGCTTGAAGTTGGGTTGGAAGGACCTGTCGTTGCTCACAGCCTCTGCCTGGCAGCCGTTGGATTGAAATACTTTGACCGGAATCCGGAATGATCATCGTAGTTGTTTTTCAGTCGGCTGTAATTCTTTGCGGGAGAAAAACACTGTAGTTAGTTTTTATTTTTGGTTATTTGTTAAATGTGAAAAGAAAAAAAAAAAGAATGGAAAAATCCATAGCTCATCAATGAGGTCTTATTATTTAAGTGAGAATTATTTGGGTTGTTAAATTCGTTGCAATTGTTTGATTGGTTGAATCGAGTTTTGGTGATGCAATATCATGAGATGACGAGAATTATGATATTTGGCTTGGTGGGAAGTTGCAATCAAAACGTGGGAGAGAAGACTTGTCCTCCTTTGTCTGCTTAATCATTTTACTACGATTAGTCGTTCACACAGATGATAAGATTTTGACCGATGATACTTTAGATTTGAGTTTTGATATACCAACGGCAAAATAGGATGGTCAAATCAACTCACGTGCACGATTAATCTTACTAAATCCCATCATCCTATATTTAACATGTGTGGATACAGTGGATTAAGGGATTAGAAATAGCTAAAAGAAAGTTCCACAAGTGACATAATAGTAACTTACCTCAATCACATTTTCACTAAGGTAAATAATCTTTTTACCATTTTCTTTAATGAAGTTTAACACTCTTTAATATGTGAAATGTGAGAGCCATTGTGCCAATAGAAAATGAAGGGTGGGAGTGGCCTCCGTGGGGATATAATTTTTGTACGCCTTTTTCTCGTGTTGCACACTCATATTTATCTATGTTTATTAATTTTTCTTTGCTTTATTTAATAAAAATCAAACTTAAATAATGTCATCTCCCTTCTTTGTACCCTTCCATGAAAACCATGATTACAACGTGAGATTAAAACTAAACCCTACCCCATATTGATAGCGGCTTATATATGCCCACCTCAGGCACCAATGCTTCATGGGGACAACAATGGTTGACCTGTGCATCGAGCCAGCCTCATTTTACGTGTCACACTTTTCGTACACCTAGCCAGGCTCGGTTTGCACTTGGATCCTTCTTGGTTTGCACTTGCCTCATTTTGGGTACGTGGAGCCCACCTCACTTTTTGTGCGCGTGGGTTCCTTCTATGCCAGCAGAGCCTGCCTCGTTTTACGTGCACAAAATCCGAATGGATACATTTTCCATGAGTATTAAGGAAAACATTATAAGGCACTTGAAAGCGACTTGATGGTTTATTAAGCAATAAATGTGTATTTCGTAGAATATTTAAGCCGAAAACTATGTGAAAAATATAGTAGTGAGGTCGAAAACAATGTCAAAATGAGGTTCTACCCTAGAGAATATCAACAGAAAGTGTTACTTTAATTTTCAAAACTTTACGGTGAGGCGAATGTGAAAATAGATAGATAAAATGGAAAATTTAAGTACAAATTTTTAAAATTGGCAACAAACCGTGAATATTAACCCAAGTTTTTTTTTTTTGTGAAAAAGGCAAATTTTGTATTAGCGCGAAATATTTTTTTTGAGCATTAAGGAAAACAATATAAAGTATTTGGAAGCGATTTGATGGTTTATTAAGTAATAAATGTATATTTAGTAAAATATTTAAGCCGAAAACTAAAACAATATGTGAAAAATATGGTAGTCAGACCTAAAAGCATTGTCAAATAAGGGTCTTCCCTCAAGAACTCAATGGAAAGCCTTACCTTAATTTCCAAAATATCACATTGAGGCAAAGGTGAAAATAAATAGATTGAACGATGATTTAAGTGCGACTGAGCGAGGATCGGTCGAGTGGCACCGATCTTTCCCTATTCCAATTTATATACTTTATTTGAGTAGCCATTATTAAATTCAAATATCTTTAAATTTGTTGATTACAAGTGTTTAAATATGAATTATAATAGATTTTGCATGATTTTTTTTTGTTTAAAGAACATGAATGTGATAGTTTATTATTAGGGTAAGAAAAATTTAAAAAAATAACAAAGAAAAAAAATTGAAAATGGGGGATCGGTATGATACTAGCAATTGCAATACAGTTGCTAATGTGCTAGCGAATGCTTTTGTGGATAATCGGTAGCGGAGTACCAATCATATCATTTTCTATTTTTTTTCCTTTTTTTCTTTTTGTTTTTCTTTTTCCATTCAATTTTTTGTTTTCTTCCTACCTTACTTTATTTATATTCAAATACCTTTAGATTTATATTTATAACATTGCTTTTGAGTGTTTTGACATGGATTACTATCCCAATTGCTTTCATTTAATATTCCTTCGGTGTCATTGAGCTAAATAATGTCCACGCATATTTATTTAGCTCCTAGAAAGTAGTTATCACTCTCAGTTCACCTGCAAGTGTGGGCTAAGAGGCTAGTAAGCATTGAGATTAAATTTTCTACACCTAAAATGAGTGTGGCCTTTCTATAGCCTAATTATTAACTGATATATGTTCATAAACTTAACTTTTCTTAACTTTTTTGTCAGAAAACTTAACATGTGTTAGTGAATGATTGGAGCTATAGAGAGGTTACACCCTTTTTTTTTTTTTTTTTTTTTTTTTTGAGGAAAAGCTACTAGAGGTGGATTCAGTTCAATTCGGTTTGGTTTTTTTTAGAAACCGAAAACTAAACCAAATTTATTGTTCAGTTCGGTTCGATTTACTTCCAGTTTGGGGAGAAACAAAAGAAAAAGAAGAGGGCTCAATCAAATTCACCACCACAATTTTCACAGTTTGACAATGAGAAAATGCAAAGTGAAAAACACTTGCAGAACATTGATAGCAGCCGGGGAGGAACAAAAGAAAAAGAAGAAGGCTCAAAATATTTGGGCTTCAAGTTGCTTTCCAAGACATTTGAGTTTGAAAATTGGGCTCAAAAAATAAATATCCAATATAAATAAAATTAATACATTTTTGATTTGGTTTTCGAACCTCAGAAAACGAAATTGAACCAACAACATTCGATTTGGTTTGGTTCAATTTTTCACATTTGGTTCGGTTTTTTTTCTAATTCAATTTCTTTAGGCATTAATTCTGTTTACAGTCCAATTATTCTCCATTTTTTGAACCCACCACTAAAAGCTACACCCATTTTAGGTGCAAAGATTTGATCCCGTAACCATTACGACTTACGAGTAAATGAAAAAAAAAAATCACAACTTCACAAAGTGGTTGACCTGACCACTCTATATCAACACAAAAATCCATCAAAAGCCCGCACCGAACACAAAAATCCATCAAAAAAAGCCTCTCTCGCTCTCTCTCTCTCTCTCTCTCTCTCTCTCTCCAGTCTCCATCTCTCTCTGTTCCAAAATCCTCCAAAGCCTGACAGAAATCATCAGAGACAAGTAAGTCATCTTTTTCCCACTCTTCTCCTTCAAATTCTTTATGCCAAATGTAAAACCTTTCTCAGTTCATATTAAATTCTGGGAATTATTCCGAAACATTCAGAGGGTAGTAATTTGATTGATTGATTGATTGGATAATTAAGTTAATTAGGATTACGATGATATCTTTAGACGGTTTCGAGCCCGTAGCTGTTTCTCCCCAGAAACAAGACCCGGCATGGAAACACTGCCAACTTTTCATGAAAGACCAACCCAATGGGGGTAAAGTTGAGTTGAAAAAGTGTATATATTGTGGCAAATTGTTTCAGGGTGGTGGGATTAATCGCCTTAAATCCCACCTTGCCGGTCGGAAGGGCAATGGCCCCACCTGTGATCAGGCCCCGCCCGATGTTAGAATCATAATGTTGCAGAGTTTGGATGATGGGATTGCAGCGTTTAGGCAGAGGAAGAGTCATATTGTTGTTAACCCACATTGTAGCATTAGCGAAATTGACGGTTCAATAGGCGAAAATGGAGAGTATAAATTGGTTGTAGGACCGAATGCGTTGGTGAATGATGAGGAGGTTGGTGGGTTGAGTGGGAATGGAGGAATTAGGTTAACTGATAATTTGACTAATGTGCCCATTGAAGTAGATAATTCTTATAGGAGTAATGCTCAGCAGGGATTAATTGGAGTGGCCGAATTGGATTTTTCGGTAGATGAAGTAGAAGAGGAAGATGGTGGGACGAGTGTTGATCGAGGAGTACAGCAGAGGGGTAGACCTTCTGGTGGTGCTACCGGTTCTGGTACAGTTAATGGCGTTACAAAATTTAGTGTTTCCCCTCCTTTTCCTATTTCAGTAGGCAATGCTTTTCCCAATTCAACTTTTTCACAAAACCAAGAAGAAGTTGGCATCAAACTGAATTTTTCGGTAGATCTGGAAGAAGATGTTGGATTGAGTGTTGATAGAAGGGTAAGGCGGAGGGGTACACCTTGTAAAGCAGCTACTGGTTCTGGTTCAGTTAATGGTGTTACGAAATTGAGTAATGCTTCACCTCCTGTTCCTATTGCAATAGGTAATGCTTTTCCCAATTCAAATTTGTTGGAAAATGAAGAAGTTGGCATAAGTAATACAAATGTGAGTAGGAAGAGGGTAAGGGATGAAAATGCTTCCTGGGCTGCCAATGATGGAACCATAGGCAATGATTACGAGGTAACGAGGTTGAGCATTGAACAGATTCATATGGCAATTGGTCGGTTTTTGTATGAAATTCAGGCTCCCCTGGATGCAGTAAAGAACTCTGTTTATTTCCAGCCAATGATTGATGCAATTGCCTCTGGGGGAAAGGAGACTGTAGCACCCTCATATGATGACATTCGGGGTTGGATGTTGAAGAATGCTGTTGAAGAGGTGAAGAGTGAAATTCAACAACACAAGGAAATGTGGGTGAGGACGGGCTGTTCTCTTCTAGTCAACCAATGGAATTCTGAAAAGGGTAGAACTTTGCTAAATTTTGCTGTGTACTGTCCTGAAGGAACAATCTATTTGAAATCTGTGGATGCTTCTTATTTTGTTTTTTCTCCAGATGCCTTGTTCGCATTTTTTAAGGAAGTGGTGGAAGAAATTGGAGTTGGACATGTTTTGCAAGTCATTGCAAATACTGAAGAGCAGTTTTCTGTTGTTGGGAAGAAGTTGATGGATACGTTCCCAACTCTGTACTGGTCTCCCTGTTCCACCGCTTGCATAAGTTCCATCCTCGAGGATTTTGGAAAAGTTGAATGGATAAATTCTGTAATTGAACAGGCTAGATCTGTTACAAGATTTATCTACAAACACGTTGTCATTTTGAACATGATGAGAAGGTTTACGTTTGGGAATGACATTGTTAGGCTG